TTGCATGGCCTTGATGAAAAACACCCTTGTGTGAATCAAGTTTTGCATGTTGAAATAAATAAAGCATTATCATTAATTATACAATAGTGCAAACTATTATAAACATTTAAAAAGTGAATAATTAATGAAAATACAAATTATAAAGGCATAGCATACTTTACATGTTATGTATACATTAATTCATCTTTGTATTAAGTTATTAATATTAAACTTTTGTTTAAAAAAAAAGGCAATGTAACAATAAAAATAAAGGCACCTAATGTACCCGGATACACCAGCATGGTACATTGAGAAAATTTATCAGAAAAGTTAGAGCAGTGAAGAATTTGGTAACTTAGGGCCCGTTCATACAACACGCCATTACATGCCTTATCAGCGCGGCAAAGTTCAGTGTGTTGTATAAACAAGTTTGGATTTTGTGTGATTACCAAACCATCTGGAAAAGAGTCTACTTGAGGAATCGCCAAATTTGGCTGGTTCGTGACCCTGGCGATGCCTACTTGTTCCCTCAGACTATGGCGGGTGTTAATTAATCAACTCGACAGGTCGCTATTTCGGTAAAATAAAAAGTATCGCTGGATGTATTTAATGATTTTATTGTATTTTACCTTTTTGTTGGTTTCAATTCATTGATCTTGAACTATTTTTTTCTTTTTTAGTACTGTAATGTAATTTTATTTTGGATTTGTATATTTCTGTGATAGACCTAATACTTTTTAGGTCTTTTTTTGTTAATTGCACGGCTGAAGTGCCACTGATTTATTATAAAAGTGTACATCCAAATGAATTAATATTATTATAGATTATAATAGTTTCTTTGTAACTATCACTCGGTAAGTAACGCAAAGAAATCAAGCACATGTCCTTCGTTGTCTTGTTGTTCTGCAAGCCTATGGGCTTCCCCCTCTATTCGTCTGTCTGACTAGCCTATCATCAGACAGATACAGTCAAAAGATCGTCGTCTCCCATGATACCCAACCGTTAGCAATGGTAAATACAATAATTAATGAAGTAACAACAAAATAGGATTATGAGAGAAAATATTAAGGGAATATTAACACAATCAATCAACTATAAATAATCCACTCCTCTTCCAAAAAACAAACCATGCAAATGCAGCGGAAGGAGAGTAGAGTTGCACTGTTGGTTTGACAGTGTATCTCAAAATAAATTGCACCATACGATACTTTCGGTGTGTAACACACGTATTGGGGTGTTGTATCCAGTGGGATCCCACTACGTGTCTATCCCACTGGGACTTACCTATCGAACTGGGATGAATGTAGAATTTTAGTGGAATTTTGTCTTGAAAGTGGGATTGCACTGTCATAAATATATCTCACTGAGGTGAATAAAGAAATCTCAGTGAAATTTTGTCTAATAGTGGGATCCCAACCAACTGGAATGGGATCCTACGGAACTGGGACAGGATCCCACTCAACTGGGATGTAATCCCACTGTGATAAATACATAGTGTGTTATAAACACAGATCTTGTAAAGAGGGTTCTCCAGAAGCCATTTTGGCAGTCAATTTTACCGGTAAAAATAACCAGTCAACCGGTAAAAATTTTGTGTTTGTAAAATTAAAAAATAGGCTCCCAGCGGGAGCGTGTGTCTACTGCCAAATTTAATAGAAACGGTGCTTTTATTATTATCCAGGCTTTCCAATTTGTGCAGACTGACTGATGATTGATATTGTTAATAAGCTCGCATCAACTCCAAAACCACCAAGTTAGGGTAGGAAAAAAATTGAAATAACCACAAGCAAAACAGTCTTGACCTAAGCTGAGTTCAACTGTTGACCCGTTTAACCACTTCTACTCGATTTAATTTTAACTTCCAACTTTCGGAACTGTGCGCCTCATATATATAATGAAGAATTGGCTAGCAATGCATCGTACCACACACGACCGAATTTACGGGTAGTAGTACTATCACATCATATCACACGTCACGAATATGACATAATGTCAACTTTACACTTCCCGATTTTACTTCACACTTTTGTGAATGTCAACTTACGCTCACAATGTCAACTTTACGCTTCCGGATTGACCAGGATACCAAGAAGGTGTCTATTGCCCAGAGGGCAGTAGACACAAAAACCACTGAAAGGCCTAGGTGGTCTAGCTATCTTTCAATAAAGGGACATTATACCAGTCTAGGACTTGGCCTAGACTATGTGTTGTTTTCTTCAAGTGATTAAGCCCCACTCAAAAGGAGCAACTCACACTGCACACATAGCTAGATTTTTGTGGACAAATTTACCAGTAAAAATGTTTTAATTTGGATAACACTGGTAAAGGTAAATGTTAAAGATGGTTATTATTATTATTATTATTATTATTATTATTATTATTATTATTATTATATTAACAATAAAAAATACTAACCAATCAGTGACATACTGTAGTAGATTATATGATAGTAATAATATCTAAAATAGCAAGTGTACATAGAAATTACAAGCAAACATTAGGATCTATAAAAAAAAAAAAATTTAAGTTCGGATAAATAATTACAATTTACAAGGTTGATGAGTTAGTTTCTTGATAATTACCATGTGAAACAAATCCGCATTTCAACTGACAATACCCAGGTAATGTGTTGCTAAAAATATCATCGCTGTGCGTAACAATTCTGTCATAAAATCTATAGTTCTTATGAAAAATCGAACAATACGTCATTTCTGGATGCACTTATACTTTATCTAATCCAGATGATCTAATGCTAAGATCTATCAAAAATTATTACCTTTACATCATCTAATATTAGAACCAAAAAAGAAAATAGTTTCTTATTCAGGTTTGCAAAAAAAAAACATGATGAGATACCATTTTCCCAGTTCAAAATGATTTCCACAATACTGTACATAACAGTCCCAAGTAACATCTTACAATTATAAACCATATACAAAGCTCTATTTTACGAAGCTTTTTTGTGACAATGATATCAATACATTAATACAAGCAACCTTTCTAAATACCAGAACATTTCAAATGCATAAAACATCAAAATATTACTGGGTATAAAATGTTACATCAGGCATTAAAGAAAATATTTTAACCAATTAATAGACATAAAACTTCCTTTAAAGAAAAAAATATTTATCTGCTTCTTTAGAAAACAGTGAAAACAAATAATTTGTGACTGAAATTGCCTTGTCAGGTTGGCTTTCATAAGCAAGGCTTCACCCTGTACAGCTCTTCTAAGAGAATAGTTAGATGTGCAAATTGGGAGATGTTACTGTTACCAACTTTAGGGCTAAACTCATAATTAATAATCTACTGTAATACCACTTTGGAATTGCCATGGCAAAAGAACATTATTCCTACAGTAAATCATCACCGAGGAATTGAAATGATTTTCCAAACATAAACAAAGATAAAACAATATTAATATTTTAAAATTTTACATCTTTTCATAAGCTTAAAGGTTAATATATTAATAATGAACAAAATACTGGGATCTCTATATTATTTGGATTGATCTATGTTTTAAAAAGTTACTAAAATATCATATCTGATCCCATTAACTGGGCTATTGATTGGTTCAATTAATTTATTTAAATATATACAAACCATATCAAAGATTTAATTTTATTGAAAGTCTTTTAGCTGATGTAGGCGGTATATCTTACAGATCAAAAGCTTCAAAAATACAAATAGAGGAAGATATCAGTATAAAAATATTAGGAAGCTTTGAATAGAAATATAATAAAATAGTCTTAAACATACAACATACAATCCAATTTCTTTAGTAAAGGTAAGACAAGACAATGTTTCATTCAAAGCATTTCAAAAATTGTTTTTCTTGGCTAGATATTAGAGTGCTAAAAACATTTAAATAATACATTCTTTAAAAAAAACATGTTGCTTTCTGTCACACCATTAACATTTTTTTTATACAATGTATGTGTGGAAAAATGAATGTAAAAAATATTTAATAAATATGCTTCTATAGGTGTCATTATGCTTTTTCAGCCTGAACAATGTTATAGTCAGCAGATCTGACCTTTTATTTACGGAAGAATAATAAGTCTGCATTAAAGAAACGTCAGGAAATGACTAGTTTTAAGCTATTACAAATTCCATAAACAAGTGAATTAAAATACAAAAATAGCATGTGCATGGAATAATGTTCAGGCTTAAAAAAACACTATCAAACAGGCAGACGATTATAACATGAAAATATAATTTTTACTGTTTCTTAACTTACTATAAAATACAGAAATATGGTGGTAAAGTACAGTATAGAACTGTGTAGGCCATCAGATATGTTCATTAATAAGCAAATTCACGTGGACATGAATGTGACAGACAAATTTAGTACAGTACTCTCTTATTTAAAAGTACTGTATGTAACACAATGAAAAATGACAGCAAATCGATTCAGGAAAGAATAAAAAAATATTTAAAAAACATCAAAAATTAAAAGTATCATTGACCTAGGTCAAAGGAAAGAATGAACAAAAAACACCACCCGTGTTGAGAACAAAGTTTTACCCTTATAAACAAGTTAATTTCGATAATCATATTCCTAAAGGCTATAATTTGATAAACATTGATTAATATCTTCTTTGAAAAAAGGAGTTTCTCGTTGGTACAGTATCATATCACATGATACCTTACAAATGTAAAATATTCAACCATATTAAATTTTTATGAAGTCTAAACAATATATTTGCAATGGGAAATGCACAAAACAGACAGGGAGCTGCAAACCCCCTCCCCTCTCATTTCCATGATCCCCATCCTTTCACCATTTTTTTTAACGTTTTATTATTTATACCACTAGTTACTTGAGTTTGATGCCATAATTCACTTTATGCATCAATCAATCAATCAATCAATCAATCAATCAATCAATCAATCAATTAATCAATCAATCATGAATGTTTGACATTACCTTTAATATACTTTTAATATTATTTATAAGACATGAGGCCATACATCTCACTGACATATTGAAGAATGAAGGGAAAACTAGTGTAACTTACATCTGACACGTCTCTCTGACCTGCGTTTAAGATTATTAGCGCTCCGAGTATTGTCCACATTGAGCATGCTGGCCTCTGTAGGTTTACACAGCTCTGGCATTATAAACCTGACTGTTAAGAAGTGCTACCAAGACTAAAAAGCTTACTAACTGTACACCTTCGGTTCATACAAAAAAAACAAGTACTCATAGATTGAAATCCATAGACTGAGTAAGCTTCCAAAGGTTGTGTTGTCCCTTCGACACAGACCTGACTCATGTTATGGCCTAAATATAAAAAGATTCTTTATCTAGGATTGCACACTGACACTTGGCGCTATAAATAGCACCGAAGCCTAGTTAATTACTTGCTTAATATATTTACAAATTGCCCTAGTCATAACCCAAAGGTTCAAGACATCATTCAGGGGAAGTGGACTCTTCCATTATCAACGGGGATGTATTTTTTACAGATGAGTTGAAGCATTATTTAATGGCTAATTGATTATCATGTTTGGGCCAATCCTTTAATAAGAGAAGAACGATATGTTAGGAGATCAATTTTCAACAAGATCAAAACAAGAACTAACGTTAACAAAAGTTATTTGTGTAGCTTGTGTGTTTATTTTGTACAAAATAAAATTCAATGATATTTATGCTAGAGATTGTAGAATTCTCACTCACTAACCAATAGAAAATACCAGGTGACGTAAAAAGAATTGCACCCAAGACTAAGAAACCTTTGTCATTAATATTAAACTGGTGATGAGTGGACCTAGGCCAAAGGGTGTATATATTTTAGCTAGCCACTTCCACACTTCCCCAAAAATTCGCTAGTCATACCTCCATGAACTGATCTATTAGAATATAAGTCAAGATGCCTTGTAAATTGTAAGAGGGTTTTACTTTAGTAGCTTACATTTGTTACCAGATAATATACAACTGAAGAATGTGCAGATAATATACAACTGAAGAATGTGGGAAAGTGCAATTCTAGGCCTCCACAAGACATATTCAGTGAGGAACACTCAGACACACCCCTGTTTAGACCTACGGTCGGCAAGCATTCACTCTTTATGACCCCAAATTTTTGGGCATAGCTTTCCACAACCCAAGACCTCCAGTTATCATAGAATTATCGTCAAAATTACAAATTATACAACCAATGTAATACAGCAAAACCCTACTTTGGGACACCCCTATTCAGTGGACACTTTTCTGTGAAATGAGAATTATTTCTTTCAATACTACTGCCAACCCCTATTACAGGGACACTCATATTATTGGGAAAGGAACACACTCTCTGGGTGTGCCAAATGATCAAATAAATTCATATTCAACTCCTAGTAGGGGACAATTGATTTTTGTATCATTGTACAGTATCGAAAAACTACAGCAGTCTAAAATTTAAAAAAACTATATACTTTGACACCTTTTGAGCAAAAAACTTCACATCAAAAAAGAATGTTTTCTACTGAATCCTTAGTGCGAACATCGGCATAGGCCTATTTCCCATCAATCTTGTCAAATTTTACCTCTAACCATGGGGATTCTTTGTTTGTATAATTTCATATAAGATTCTAATTTATATCATAACAATAACATGCACCCTTATTTTGAAGTCGTTACTCTTGCATGCATCCAACAGAAAGCTTTAAAAAATAGAATATTTGGTCATTAAATTTGCATCTCCAAATATCGGAACATAATATGATCATTGTAGTTTTAACTACATTACTGCTAATTTCATATTTAAATGTATTTTGCATTGCAAATTATTGATATAAATTATTTATAATTCAACTGTAACTCATTTTTAATAAAAATGAAAATTGTAATTTAAAGGTACAATTTAAGCTTTGGCTTGTGTCCTCTTAATAGTGGGTACACACTTATTGAGAAGTCCAGAGGGTGTCCCCTTAATAGGGGTTCTACTGTACTTTATCAAAGTACTGTCTCGTGACAAAAATATATTTGGAAAGCATACTTATTAAAGAAAATAATCACCTAAAGCATGTTTTCAATTTTATTTCATGATTTGTTGATTTCCATCATTTTAATCTAACCGCGTTAATTTTGACATTGGTTGTTAACACCTTTGTCATGTTTTGATTCCATTATGCCCACTAATTTTAGTAAACTAGCCAAATACGGAGCTGAGGATGTGAATGAGTGAAAACACCGCAAATATTTCTGTATATTTTGAAGCATAAACACTATTCAACAAACAGCAGTCTGACTGGGATTACACTGCCGGGGCAAACTGAAGACAATAGACAAAATTTCATCAAATGTTTTGTTTAAATGATGTTTTCAAGGAAATCTTCTAATTTTTAAAGTATTTAATTTTAACACTTAAGACTTTTTGTATAGTTCTTTTGGGACCCAGATGCAATCCGACGACCCTCAACAATTCATTCACGACCCACGGGTTGCCAAATGTAGGTTTAGACAACCTGTTCACACTACATAACAACTTTCATCAATTGTAGAGTTTGCCATTGCAGATCATAAATGCCAGGTTTACACTAGTATTCTGACCATGATGGGAAGCTAATCGTTAGCTTAACCATTAGCACTGCGTTTGAGAACGCCCTATTGAAATAGGCTAATAATCGGGAGATCAGGATCGGTTAACAAATTGTGGCCGCTAAAAGTTAGCAAATTGACTTCGTTCTTATAAACAACCAATCAGATGCTAGCATATCTAAATCCCAATTGCAGAAGTTTGACTACCAACCAACTTTTTGACTACCAACCCATTCTTTCACCCAAAATCAACAATGTTTTGGCCATCCTTGCATATGTAATATTTTTTATTGTTCTTATGTATTCAGCCTTATGCAATTTTGGGCTGGTGAACCATGTTTAACCATTACCTTCTGCAGTCTATTAAGTATTCATTGACCAAATATAACTGTTCATTATTGAAAACATACTAAAATCTATCACAGACTCAAAAGCATAAGTGGTAAAATTGGAAGGATGTTCTTCTTTCCAGGGAAAAATACTTTGGAAGACTTAATATAGGCCTACATGTTTTATTGTCATATTTTCACGAATAATCACGTGGAACTTACCACAAATTGTTCACTGTGGTATTTCAAGAAAATCAATACACAATATTTCTTTGTATTCTTTGTAAATACTAAAATTGGATTATGTATAGAAGATTTTATAAATACATGTAATATTGTTTTTATCTTCCACCAGTCATGCCAAACGTGAAAAAACATATGTCCATTGGCTCGTTAACCTTGGAATATATAGAATTTTATATTCTTAACACCCGAGTTAAAAAAATATTAAGCACTACGGAAGAATTTAAATGCAAATTTTTTTTTAATGTTTCAAATTTTTATCACCAAACAGTCATGTAAAACGTGACTAAACGCAAGTGTATGAATTTATTATATGATATTATATTCTGTACAGTGAGTAAACAAATTGGTAAAATTACACAAGATTAAAATTACATGTATTATATGTAAATGACTCAATTTTTGATTACCAAAACATCAAACATGACTAAACCTGTGTCAATTTGTTTTTAATTGATCATTTTGTAGGATTTTATATTCTACTGTATGAGTACAAGAAATTGGATAGAGTATTTAAAATACATTTTAAATTTTCCAGCAGGCATTTTGTGCCTACTTCTGGTGATGGGTTACTAATGGTAACGGAAGAGCCTATCCGATCACAAAAGTTATGTTGTTCAATATCTAAGACTGCCATGGGGAGAGGGGGATAGAGGGGATAAAAGGGTGTGCAAAGGTGTACTAATTGGTAATGGCGAGAAAGAGGCAAAGCCGGTTGGATCAGATTCAATTATTCATTACAATGGCAACTTTAATACCCAAATACTGGCCTAACGACTGATTGTGGATTAAACTATAAAAATTTAAGATTCCTTTTTAATCTTATCTATTAATTTATTATTCCATACATTCTCAAATATTAAAAATGCAACTGCTAGGCACATGCTTATATAAACAATCTTTTGGTTTTTGAGGGATTTTTTTTTTGTATATTGCATAGTTCTATAAAAACTGGTAGGCATTGCTAAAAAAATATGATCGCCATGTCGCCATTGGCGACAAAAAAATGAATCGTGGCAAGTAGTTTCGCCATTCTCATTGCCATCATGACTACCAGCGTAGAAACAGGTGATAGCCAAACTGGCGATAAAATCCACATTTTAAAAAATCTTGTAGTCGTGTAGGTCATTTGACAGATGCCCTGGACAAACATAAACCTGTTGTAAACAGGAGCAGCGATTATTGTTGTCTAGGTTTAGGCCCAGGCTAGCCCAATTAATTAGCCTAAAGTAGGACCAGTTTGTAGGCCTAGTATTTTTAATTATACTCTCTACAGTGCTGTCCTGGGATTCCTACTACATTTTCTACGACATTCAAGCAATGGTTTGGGCTGTCTAAATAAGTATTTCCATAATTACGTTCATTCATAAACAATTTTGGAACACGTTGTTTCTATTTGTACCTGCATCGCTCAAAACAATAACTAACTATTTTTCGGCAGTTCAGTCCTCAAACGAAGTCATGTGAGCAGCTTCATTTTCGATGTTGCAACAAAACACACGTGGTTGCTGGTTGACACTTGCTGTTCGACGTCTGGTTACAGTTCATTATTATGCAAATTCTCGCCTGGCTAAACCCGCTAGTCTGAACGTCCGACAATGTTAAGCCGGGCTTAACGTTGAGCCGGGCTTAACTCAAGCCTGGCTTATCTCCAAGTCTGAACGTAGCCAAAAACATGAGTTGTAAGTAATTTCTTTACTAGAATTTAACTGTAGAAAGGCATACGTCATCTGCCCTTACTTTGTATTTCTCCAGTTCTGTTTTTGTTTATAAAACATGATGCGTTGCAGCGTGATGCAGCGTACTTCGCACAGTAGACTGTGAGTAGTAATGACTTAAGCCTAGAATTACCAATATTTTTAGCTCAATATCGACTGTTGTAAGTCACCATAATAACAAAATGATTGATTGAAATAAATAAATATACTCAAGTATTTTATTTTATTAGATTTTATTATTAAAACTAAAACTAAACCTAGCAAGAAATGGAGATTTCCTTAGATTAAGAATACGGTGTTTCATTGTTTCATTGTAGTAGCCAGAAGTTTACATGCACTTCACCATGTAATGCGTAATGCTTTTACAGTAATTATAAAAGATCCGAATCTTGACAATGCCCAACGTATTTCATTGACAAATTGTCGGCGCACAAAGAAATATCAAGCAGAAAATCGACTATGCCATAGTTACGC